CGTGAAGAGAAACGGAGATTAAATTCTATATAAACACAAATTTTATACTTCGGTTTTCAGCCGTGGTAATGGCAATTTTGTATATGAAAGTCTCTTTCGTGATCATTTTTTTCAATTTATCACTTATTATTTTTGTTCTTTTCTCTCAATGTCTACTTCTCTCCATCCGTCTCTCTTTATCTCCCCTTCCTTTCTTTCTCTTCTCTCTCTCTCTCTCTCTCTCTCTCTCTCTCTCTCTCTCTATCTGTCTATCTATCTATCTATCTATCTATCATTTACTCAAGCATGATATCTTACGAGATATTAATCTCATAAGATACTTATTATAAGTATGTAAAAGTTACAAGGGCAATTTTTATTTAAATCCGAATACACAGAAAACTGGGACAAAGAGTGAAGGAAAGAAAAAATAAATGAACTTTTTTATTCAGTACTTATTTCAGTAGTAATCTACTTATTTTCAAGTCTTCACTTGTGTCATCCTCTCTCTTTCCCTCTTTCTTTCCTCTCTATCTCTCTCTTTCTTCCTTTCTCACTCTCTTCCTCACCCCTCTCGTTCTTTTCTCTATCTTTCCCCGTTTCTCCTCCTCTTTTTCTCACCCCTCTTTCTTCCTCTCTCTCCCTTACTTTTTCTTTCCATCTACCTCTCTTTGTTCCTCTTTCTCTTTTTCTCCCCCCCTCTCTCTCTCTCTCTCTCTCGCTCTTTCTTTTTTCCCTCCTCCACCCTCTCTCTCAGTTTCTCTTTCTCTCTTCACGCCCACCCACTCTCCCTCTATGTTTCTCCTTCTTTCTTTCCTCTCTCTCTCTTTTACCTGTCTCTCTTTCACTCCCTTTCTTTCTCCCTCTTGCCCTCTCTCTCCCCCCTCTCTCTTCATTCTTCATGATGTCTTAGACACAATTTGTTGGCTTCGGCTAAAAGCAAGAATAAAATAAAACGGTTTTCAAAGCAGCAAGATTTTTCTATTTTGTAGAGAATACCAGGTGCTGTAAGTTTAGATATGAAGGTGGTGTAATGGATAACGGCGCGGAATGGGAAGTCGGAGAGACGGGTTCTAATACAAGTCGGTTTTGTTATATTCACTAACGCGCAAATACCCTTGGGAAAGGTATGAATCCACCTCTTCAGCCCCAACTATGGATTAATTAACAGGACTTGTGTCAGTAAATAATTATTATTTCCCCAAAATTCTTACGATTTAAAAAAAAATATTTGATGGCTTTAAACAACCTGCAAATGGTTGGTAAGCCGTAAAAAACAAATCAATTAATAAAAAAAAATCTATTTGGAAGATTGTTACCTATCTGCCAGTACATATGTGTACGTGTAAAATCTGCAATACCAACATGACATTTAATATATCTATCAATATCTCTCACTCCTTCCTCTACTTGTTTTCTGCCAGTTTATCTCTTAGAACTTTACTCTTGTGGACTTTTATTATGCGCGCATGCGCATAGACACATATCTTTTGAAATTAAAAAATGTGATTCTATCCTTTCCAGAATTATCCCATAATCAGATTTTTTTTTCTCTCCATCTGGATCGTATCTAAATCTACGGGGATTGCTGACTTTTGATCGGAAGTCAAAACCTTTTTTTTTTTTTTTTTTACTTTAAACGAAACTAATTCTCCTCGCTCCGAACCCTAACCCTTTCACCGGTTTTCTATCTCCCCGTTTCTTCCATCTTCCCTCCTTTTCTACCTGCCCGCTTTTTCCATCTTCCCGCCTTTTCTCGTCATATCACCTCTTCAAATTTTTTCCTTCCTCCCTTTTTTTTTTTTCTTCTCTCAATTCGTCTTCACATATCTTCATTTCTTTTAACTTCTTATATTTCGTTTCGCTTTGTTTTTGTTTTTTGTTTACTTCCTTATTTTCAGGTGTTCCACCGGTTATGGTGCTGTAAAGTGTTCCAAGCACAGAGCAGACACGTTAAGTCTTGAGTTTTACTCGTCTGTGGTTGTACGCCTCTATATGTATAGATATACCTTATGCGAACAAATTAGTGCACGTATGTGTGTATATATGTCATACCGTGCGCGCGGGGGAGCATGGGAATGCCTGAGCAAATATATGTATTTTAGTGTATGTAAATCTATGTATAAACGTGTGCATATACGCCATATAGATGTATCACCTTACATACACACACACACACACACACACATATATATATATATATATATATATATATATATATATATATATATATATATATATATATATTTATTTAAAAATATGATTCCAAAACTACATAAGAAGTCTCATGTTTCAAAACAAGAGCCGAAAAATTCAATATAATTATTTAAATTAAATTGAGCTAAATAAGCTCTGTTCCATCTTCACAGAGCTTGGAACAATTTAAATAATTATATTGAAGTTTTTCTTGTTTTGAAACATGAGACTTTTATGTAGCGTTTTGGAATCATATTTTAAATAAATAATTATATTTATGCTCTACTTTTGTATTGAGCACTATTTTTTTAAAATAATAACTAAAATACTAAGGGACTTTGGATTATTTACCTAACCAGTTCCTTCCTATTTTCTATATATTTTCACATATATATATATATATATATATATATATACACGCATTTATCCATTTTATATATATATATATATGTGTGTGTGTGTGTGTGTGTGTGTGTGTGTGTGTGTGTGTGTGTGTGTGTGTGTGTGAATATATATCTTACCCTAGGCTATCGGCGTACAGAAAGGAAGATTTTAACGCATTATATGTGTGATATATAAACGCCATACCGCTGCCATAGCGCTCAATTCTTACGAATAGCGATGGATTAAAGCAGCAGTAGCCGTTAAAAATTGCCAATATAAGGACAAAATCTATACAAACATATGGCCGCAAATCGTTCGTTTTTTTTTTTTAGTTATTAAGTTTAAGGAAATTTTACGGTAGATGGCATTGTGTTGCCATGTAGAGCAGGTTACGTTTGTCATTCATGTACATTCGTGGCTAGTCTATCTTCAACCTTTAACGTGTGTAGTAGTGAGTTAACTGAGAAGTGTTCCATCTAACAATGGCAGGATATTCATATTGTGAACAAGCAGATATGATTTTTACATACGGCAGAGCGCATGGATGCGAGGCAGCACGGCTGTATCGGACTGCGCTCCCAGACCAAAGGCAGCTGACTCGTCCAACCTTTGCTGCTGTTTATCGTCACGTCACAGAAACAGGATCCGTAACACCACAAACCATGGATCAAGTAAGACCGAGATCCGGTTTTACACCTGACCCCAAAGAACACATTCTACAGGCTACCGAAGACGATCCAGGTATCAGCTCACACCAAGTGGCCCTAACATGATGTACATCGCATAGTACTGCATGGAACGTGCCAAAAGTTTGTAAAAGTATTTTTAAAATGTATCTTTAACAGTGTCTACTGTAAATTTTAAATTTAATAATTCAAAAACGAAGGATTCGCAGACATATATTTATATGGACTTTTGTCTTTGTTTTGGTGTGAGGAACCCGCCCCAAAATTTGTAAAAATAATTTTGATTCATATATATATATATATATATATATATATATATATATATATATATATATATATATATACGCCTAAGAGTAGATCCCAAAGACAGTCTTGTAGTAACCAGTACATGATTATCAAAATGGTGTAATTGATTCATACTATCCTGAGAATCAACCTAGGTATCAACGGTCGTGCACCCGTGATCGATGCGAGCCTTCAAATTATAGGACATCATCTGTGGTTTGATCTGGAGATCACCACGTCTGCTTGCCCATGACACGTTACGCATTAATGAGATTTCAACCCAGATTTGAGGAGGGAATTGATGACCCTGAAAATTGTTTCAGATATCTTTTAGGGTGGCGTAAATAAATAGCGAAACATTTACAATATTAAACACATTTTTCTTAGCTTGTTAATCAAATACGAAAGTTAATTTGAATATGTATGTTTAAAATTGTCTGAAATCAGTTCGTGTGCTTATACAGAACAACCCTCCCCCAAGAAAAGGTATACAAACTTCAGGAAAGGAAAAACTTTTCTTTTGTAGTTTTATCAAATTGTGACAACGCTGTTTAATGGAGTACGATATTTTTCTGATTTAACACCTGCAGATTTTTACCTGTGGGGGAACTTAAAAGGTGTTGTAGAAAACAGGTTGAATTGACAGTCCTTAGACGAGAAATTGAAAATACATGTGTAGCAATCCCACTGGACAACGCTGCCCAAGCATTATTTAGCCATACTAATAAATGTCTGGAAAACGAAGGCATCATTTTAAACATCTCTGGTGATTGTCAAGTTGAAAGGTAATTTGCATTTATCTCGTGATGTCTGAACAAATTTAGTATTACAATATCTATAGTTTTTTCCTTTCCTGAAATGTATATACATTTTTTTGGGCGCAAAATCTCCCTCTCTCTCTCCCTTTTTATATATATATATATATATATATATATATATATATATATATATATATATATATATATATATATATATATGCATACTTTTATGCATGAATGTACGTTTGTATTTAGTAATGGGAATCATTCTTCGCTATTATTTCATTGTAGATACAAATTTACTTTTTTTTTTTTCTTGTGTTTTCTTGTTTTCTTTCATGGGTTGTTACTGATAGATTCTATCCAAAAGTTTGCAAATTGAAACAGATTAATCAATATGTTCATTATCAAGCCTTGGATATTTCCGGATATTTCATACATTTTTAAAAGTCCCTCAAATAAAAAATGGAGATTTTCACTTATTCCCATTAATTCTTTCTTTAAGGAAAGTTTCAGCTACCCAAGGAAGCCATCGGTTACCCAAGGAAGCCATCATTTACCCAAGGAAGCATTTGGTTACCCAAGCTTTTGCGAAGCACATTCCGTGTTTAGTAATGAATAAGGATTTTATCAAAATTCTAATGCAGCTGAAGTAGTATCTTTAAGGATAGAGCCAGTGTGTTATTGCATTGATAGGTTCACGAATACGTCACATTGAAACACCGGTTTCCGTACGATCCACCGAAGTTAAGCAACATCGAGCCAGTTAGGTATCTAGATTGGTGACAACTTGGGAATAGCAGGTGCTGTTTGCTTGGATATGCGAGTGATGTAATGGATAATGGCTCGGAATTGTTAATCAGAGAGCCGAGTTCCAATTCTGTGTGGGTTCGTCATATTTAATTGTGCAAATATCCTTGGGAAAGATACGAATCCACTTCTTCTCCCCGATCCAGCCGCCAGTTACGAGTTAATAAGTAAAACCTGTAGCAGTAAACTATTATTATTTTCCCCAAAATAGTTCTTATAATCTAAAAATATTTTCTAGCTTTAAATAATATGCAAAGGGCTGATAAGCCATAGAGAACGAATCAGTCAATCAATCAGTTCTATTTAGCTATATGCATAAATTCTAAAAATTTGAAAATTTTCAAATTGGTTTTAATCTTCTTGTTTTTACTGGCAAAGTTTATTTGAATTTAAAACTAATACAAAAATCTCTGCTCATATTTTGTCAAAAAATATATGATTTTAACATGAAAAAAACATTAGGCATCATGACAAAATAAAACTATTCAGAACAGAAGACTCCATAGGATTAAATAATGGTAGAACTTCATGAAATCACATAGAATTATTTTTTTTAATCAGTATCATCCCATGCAGTGCAGTAAAGCCACTAAGCCACAAGGAGTTACAGGATGTGGAAGAATTAGGAACAGAAAGATTAATAATAAACGAGAAGAGAAAAGATTAATCAGGAAGAAAGTAGATAGTGATTGACATTTCATTTAAATTTTGGGATATTAAAGTTGACTGGAAAGTATAGAGCCAGAAGGGAGTTCCACAAGCGAGAAGTGCGAGAAAAGAAACTGTTAGCATAGAAGTTACGGCTACATCTAGCCAGTTCAACTGTAAATTGATGAGATCTTTACGCCAGTCTAGTACTGCACTTAAATTCAAATAGCCTAGGTACAATAGCGAAGAGCTCATCCAAACAATTAGCATGAACGTATTTATAGAAAAGACCCAGAGAGGCAACCTTACAGTGGTGAGAAAGTGATTGAAGCTGAACTGCCAGATCCGGACCAATAATATTGCTGACTCTTCTTTGGATTTTATCAAGGAGCTCAAGGTAAATATCAGCGACACCTGACCATATGTGGCAGCAATATTCTAAGCATGGACGAATAGTAGACTTATAGATATGTAAGATAGATAGTAAGGAGGCGCGTGGATTAATGGACAGCGACTCGGATTGAGGAATTGGAGAGCCGAGTTCGAATTCCAGTCGAATCCATTACATTCACTTATGTGCTAATACCCTTGGGAAAGGAATGAATCCTCGTCTCCCTCCAGCTATGGATAAATAGCAGGACAGACCGGGTTCTATATCCTTGGATGGCAACTGGTCTACCGTAGAAAGAAATGCCAACTTACTGCGGGAAAATAATCTGCCTCGTCAGTCATGTATCTTTCGATACATAATCGCCTAAGCGTGTATCACGTATGGCACATAACTGACTGAAGATAGATTCTGGAGAGAAAAGTCATTTCACCACAGTGAACTAATTTTCTTAGCAGCCGAGTCCCAATTCTGGGTGGGTTCGCCATATTTAATTAAGTTCAAATATCTTTGGGAAAGATATGAATCCCGCTGCGCCAGTTATGAGTTAATAAGTAAAACCTGTAGCAGTGAACTATTATTATTTTCCCCAAAATAGTTCTTACAAACTAAAAATATATTCAAGCAGAGCTAGCAATGAATTCAATAGTCTTTCCACTTCGTGTCAGCTGAGGATGTTAGTTACAGAATAAATTGATGCAAATGTTTCCAGCATTTTTGACAGACATTTTTTTTTATTCATATATATTCATAATAATATTTCTGGTTTTCTATGTCATTACACCATCTTTCAGTTATGCACTCCATTATAAAAGAACGTTTCCAAACTTGATTCGACAATTTCTTCCAAGAGTCTTTCGATAATTGTACTTGTATGTACCGTTGAATAAACAAAACGGTTTTCATGAAGTAGAAAAATGTACTTTTAGGTGGTACCTCGACGCGGTGTAATGGTTAGAAAGCTTGTCTTACTAGATGAATTACGACTGAGTAGTGAGTTTGATCCTCACTGAGTGCCCCATACTTTCGGCTGTGTCACATCTAAGCTGTGCTCAGAAAATCACTACCTTTAAGGGACAAGACACGTCGTTTCGGAGAGAACTTGCCATTCGATCCCTATGGTCGTATATGTTGCAATTGCAACATGAGTAGTGGTTTTGTTTTTCAGAAGTAGCATGATTCAGTGTCTTTACTCCAAAAAGGAACTCTTCTCCCCTACAATGTGTCTTTCAGTGTAGCATTCGGCAGCCACAAATTCCAGAAATAAATAATAAGATATTCCTTTTGGATCTCTTCAAACACGAAACCTTTTTTTTTTCTCGTAAATAGATTGCACTCGCGTGGAGGTATCGACGGCTGTCCTGCATCGAGTTGCGAAGTGCATCGTTTCTGAGTCTCGTAATAAATCCATTTTAATCAGTAACAAATTTCCCGCCCAAAAGTCGTTGGAAAAAAAAATAGTGCCTCCTATATGCCAATGAATGCTGGACAAATTCCTCGCAGCTGAAGAGGGAGCAATAGAGATATAGTTCTACAGAAGGATGCTGAGAATATCATAGAGGGAACATATTAGCATGGAGAAAGTTTTAAAGAAGAAAGGGAAAAAAAGACCACTCTCGCTTGGGGTCGGATATCGACAGTTTAAGTTTCCGGGACACATAATAAGGAAAGAGGGCTTGGAGAATTTGATACACACATGGCATACTGAAGACAAGTGACATGAAAATTTCGTTAGAGACAATAGAAAAGAGATGCTGAACTATATGATGTCTATTATCCTATATGGCAATGAATGCTGGACAATTTGCCCACTGATGAACCTAAGACGGGAACCGACACAAATATGGTTCTGCAGAAGGATGCTGAGAATGAACGGAAGGTGTGTGTACCGAGTATGTTTTGAGGAAAGCTGGAATGAGAAAAACACTTTTATACTTAGAATCAGAGACAGATGAAATTTCTAGGACACATAAGGAGGAAAGCGGGCTTGAAGAAATCGATAACTTACAGGACAAGAGAAACAGAGATACAGCGAGTCATCTACCTAATAAACTTTTAAAATGGATGGAAGAACAGGGAGTGGGAGGAATAGGAAGGAGACAATCATTACTTAGAGCTACAAAAGATAGGAAGTTGTGGAAAGGATTGATCACCTACGGCATGAAAAGACATGGAACTCAATAGAAAAAGAAATGAAGTTTTTAAAAGATGGCGGATGCTTGGTTGAATCAGCGTGCGGAGAATCCATTTTCTTAACTCCTGATTTTTTCTAACTTCTGTCAATGATGAACTGATGGCACAAGCAATAAAGACATGAGACTTTTTTTCAGATTTCCTTAGAGATTTGAACTCTTGCCTCAAGCTAATATAATTAGGTTTAACTATATCTTGGTGTGATTGGCGATCCTCTTCAGTTCGGCCCATGTCGTGCCGACTGCTTTCACCCCTGCGTCAACACTTCAGCACCAAAGGATCGCCCGGAACAGCATCCTTTGGAGAGGTGTTGTTTCGGCCCTATGTTCCCCGAGGAGGCATAATAATGAATAATAAAATCTTGGGGTGATGGGAGAAGAGCTTACGGACTTCCCATTAATCGGTGAAGATGAAAGCCAAGTTTTTTTCATACTCTTTGGAAAATTAACATAATTTTATCACCCTCCCGCTTAATCATCACGTCACATCTGGGTACCTCATATGCTGTAGCCATAACAGCAGTAGTGAATGCAGGGCAAAATAGCTTGGAGCCCATTTTTCTTTGGAGCTAATTCTCCTAGACTGGCTATCACCTGAAGACGAATGAGCTCCTAACATTGTAGACAAGATAGTCATGCTTTTCCCACGTGTATTTATATGAAAGTGAACGTGACGTACTCGGCAAGGATTTGATCTCGGGCCCATTTTTCCGTAGCGCTAACCCTTTGTCCATCCGCACATCCACACATCCAGTTAATAAAGATCTATAAATAAGTTTACATCGTGATTGTTTTTAAGAAGTCTGTTACATAATGTTTCTGCTAGATGGAAGAATTCTTTAAAGTCAACTCGAAATGCTTTTTAAACATGACTATTGACCAATAAATAGATTTTGTTTTATAAATTTCTTTTTAAAGCAATAATTTTACGCAAAATAATGAATAATTAAAAAACTCCATTTCTATAATTTTAAAATCAGGAAATAATGGATTTTACATAAGTATCTCATCCTAAAACTTTCAATTTTTCTTAAATTTTATCTTTATTTATTTATTTATTTATTTTTGAAATTTTTATGCTGAATATTAAATATTCCTTCAAATGTTTACTTAAGACCGAATAGATTTTTTTAAAGAATTCTTTGGATATTACTGCCACATCTGGTCTAGCGCTTCTGCTATATCTTTAGAGATTCTTAATGAAATATAAAGAAGAATCTGCAATGTTATTGGTCTTGACCTGGCAAAGAAGTCGGAAGAGAGTTTCACTTTCTTTCCCGGACAACATTGATTTTCAAAAATTTAAATGCATTGTCAATCTTTATCTTTATGTCTTCTTATATTCTTGTTAATTTATCGTCCTCTCTCCTTAATAGTGTTTTTTTTTTCTCATATTCTCTCACTCTCAGTAACCCCTTGCATCGTAGTGGCTTTACTGCCTTGCTTGGGGTGAAATGATTAAAAAAATAAATAAATAAGAACACGAAGAGCAAAAAAGATTGTGTTTCGACAAAAAAAAAATCGATCAGTAGGATAACGATTTTAAGGCAAGTAATTAAAGTGTACAATAATAAGAAATACAACAGTGCATTAAGAAGAAGTAAATAAAATTAGATTTCGAACTCATCTTCGCGACACAGAGTTTTACAGAAATGATGTCATCTCGTCAGAGAGTTAGAGAATAAAATTTTATTATCTAACTCTCTGACGAGATGACATCATTTCTGTAAAACTCTTTGTCGCGAAGATGAGTTCGAAATCTATTTTCAAGAACC